GGACAATACTTTGAGTAATAACTTTATCTCCATTTTTTTACAATAAACCTTCAAATTAAAAAAAAACGGCGAGAGCAAAGTTGAGCACCTAATACTTCATCAAATCTGAAGAAATGTGTATTAGCCAAGTGATGCTGCAGCGACCGGAATAGGCAGTAATCGGAACGCGCCATGTCTGGGCTATACGCCGCGTGCGGGACAAGTTCCCAGCCTAACATAAAGATATAGTCCTGAATTTCTTTCGCAACATGTGATCGGGCATTGTCATAAAGCAGAATCATTTCACTTCCTTGGCTAGTCAATGGCCTCTTTTTTTTAATACATCACTCAAATTGGTCAATTGTTGTTGGCGGCGGTCTGCTGTAATTGTTTTACCAGGTTGTAACAACTCGTAATACAAAACATCTTTCCAATTCTACCAGATGCAAAGCAAAACCTTTTTGGCGTGGATTGGCATTGGGCTTTGGCGTCGATGTCGAAGACCATGGTCAACCAATGATTTTCTATCCTTAGGGTTATTATAAAAAATCCACTTTTCATTGCCTGTAATGATTTTATGCAGAAAATCTTTTTTTCGGAACTTTGAAAGCAAAGTAAGTGCAATGTCACCACGTCGATTTTTGTTGTCTTCGGACAGTTTATGCGGAACCCATCGGTCTTCCTTCTGAACATTTCCTATTGTATATAAACGTACGGAAATGGCTTGCCGTGTAACGCCAAGCTGTTCTGCAAGCTCCTTTTCAGTTTGCTCAGAGTTTATATCCAGCAATGCTTGCAATGTGTCCATTTCAATCTTTTGTGGGCGTCCAGCACGCGGTTCATCTTTAAAACTGAAATCTCCTTGGCGAAATTTTTGATACCATCTTTTACTCGTAGCATGATTTATAGCGTTCTCTCCATATACAGCACAAATTATTTCAGTGGCTTCAGTAGCATTTTTCTTCAGATGAAACGTGAAGTGAATGGAAAATCAAATATGCTCTTTTGTTATTGCCGTCGTGGACACTACTGATTTTTGAGGTTATGTGCATCAAACGCCAAACCGCATTTTAGAAGGCCAAATATCAATGCTTTAAAACAGCAAAAGGGCGGAGAGATAAATAAAATTTAAATTGTTGTTTCGGTAGTATGAAATCTAAAGCTCAGAACTTTTTTGCTCATCTAATAACTGCAGAAACTATTGAAAAAATCCATAAATATGATGGTAGATGGCAGAAGATTGACAACAATTCCGTTTACAATCATTTTATGATATTCTTTTGAGCGACGAGGAAAGATTTTAGGTGATGAGAGATAATAACAGATAGCCTTGTATATCTAGATTAATGATTATTTTTCGGATTGATATATATATATGACTTGTGATTGATATTTATATATGACTTTTAAATTATAAGGAAATACGATACCAGCTTCTCGGAGCAATTTCCCAGCTTCGTACATATCCGAGACGGATCCAGTCATACATTGCGTGATATTCATGATAATCACACCACGTGCTGCTGCTTCGCGAAGGGCATTGATGATATCTTTGCGATTTGTCGGTATGTTTCCTGAACCATAAGACTGCAGCACGACTCCCTCAATGGGCGGCTGAAGGAACGCTTCAACTAATTTGTACGTGATCCCGGGAAACAGTCGCAGCAGGCCCACATTTTGGTTAAGAGATGTATGGGCATCGAATTTGTGCAAGGTGCATGGTCGAAAGAACGAACCATACTCAACTGAGAAGGAATATCATTTTTTTAAATAATGTACAGTGAGATACATTGATTCATGAAAGTCAGTTTGACATATGTGACATCATATGTGATTGTAGTACATGAGCTATAAGTCTAATGCCAATAAAAAAAAAAATGTTGGTTCGATGTTTGAGTCAAATTGGATTTTATTGCATTTAATGGAAACAAATTATTCATTAATCAAACATTGCTGTTATTTTCTTTGATATATGCTTAAGTAGCTATCAATGAGCTGCTTAAAATCCTACGACTTTTATATTTAATATTTTTTTCAGATACTTTAATTTTCGATATTAAGAAATCCACGATATTTTCTATATCCAACATATTAATTATACATACTCAATTTGACTTCCGACTTTCAACCGCAAATTTTTATGGATTTATTACCATTATTAAGGTTTTGTAAACACACTCTGGGTCGCGTTGTTTCTTTTTCTGCTTAAGCGAACTGAAAAACATGGCTCCTATCCAAAAATCAAACCCAATATTTCTCTACACTGTTAATCATGTATCGCGTAAAAGTTTCAAATTCGAGGTATTAATTTCTAAATGAAAACTATATTTTGAATTACATGCTGATAGCAAATATTTTTCTCGGTATATTGGCATTAGGTACGGAATACACGAAGTAAAAATAAAATATGGCGATATGACTGGAGGTATTGTGCTTATAAACTCACGATACTTTTATTTAGAACAATGTTTCAATAGTAAAAGGCTAACCATATATATCTCGTATATATAAGTACGAGGTACTTGTATATAGCAGTAAAATTTCTTACATGCAAAAAGAAGATGTCACTAACGACTGAATAATTTTTTAATAGTAAAAGTAGTTGCTTGGCAAGCCGAAGATTTATATCCTGGTAAGTATACATTTTCATACATTTCCCCACATTAGCACAAAAGATAACGTTAACATTATTGCAATGTTGCAATAATGTTATTGCAAGTTTTTGTGTTAGATGAGTCTATATATCTGTACATATATTTTGCATATTTGTCATTGTTACTGTAAAAAAATATCTCACAGATATTACGAACTTTGCATCAAATTTGCCTTACCTTTAATCTTGATATGCGCCGTAGCCAGAGGTAAACAGTTCGGCGACTGGAAAGCGTCGAAGGAACACACGGACATTTTGCTCGTCCGATTACCGCGCATCAAGTTCGTCCCGAAGAAAATGCATACCTCAGGTATATTGTAACTTGCTGCGATCACAAGTGATACAAGGAAGTTATCTAGGCCATCGCTCCTTGGATGAAAAATTGGCATCTGCGAACCAGTCAAAATGACCGGTTTGCCCAAATCCTCGAACATGAAGGATAAAGCGGATGCTGTATAGCTAAGTGTATCCGTACCGTGAAGAATAACAAATCCGTCGTAATTGTCGTACCATTTCTACAAATAATTACGATGATTACAACACCGTAATAAATTAATGGTTATACATGCCTCGTTACTCTATCAATGTCACATACAAAATATTTTGATAATAAATTTGAAAATTGCATGGAATTATATTAAATATACAAATTAATTTGGTGCCTTTTTTCGTGAAATTCAAAGTTTATTTACAAAAAATCAAATACAAATTTAATGTTCGAAATAACTTCCGTTATTTTCTATGACTTTACTCCCTCTATCGGATAGCTGATGAATGTCTTCGTGGAAAAAACTTGGCGGTTTTGACTCAATTGACATCAATGCTTTTCCGGACCGCAACTACGAGGTCTGTTCAAAAAGTATCGCGAATTTTGAATTTCCGCGCGTTA